ACACACAAGTTCTCATAAGCGAATTGTATCTACATTAGATCTGCACACTACGGTGAAAAACCAATATATTATACGTACAATAAAAAGGCAGCGACGGGCGGAGCGTTATATAGGACGGAGGAAAATACATGTAACATAAGGTTAACTTGATCACCGGAATCGTACATATTCACAAATTCGTCGTTATCCCCCTTGACATGATTGTTCTTTTTTTTTGCTCTACGATCGCGTAATTAAAGTAGCAGTAGCGCAAGTTTGATTGCGAAATTTTCTCCTCGACATAATTTTTATTTTATTTTTTTGCGTCGCTCCCTTACTAGATACGTTGGCTGTGTTGCGCTGCATGTATAAAATATCCACTATTTACCTTCATGATATACGACAACCATACCTATTTTTCGAACAAACTTTTTTTGGACGAAAGCCTATACTACCTTGTGTGTATGACATACGTATATATGTTCATATGTTAACGTTTAAAAAAATTATACTTACCTATGTACCCACTTGTTTAAATCTCTCTATCTTTAGTTGTTTCTGATTCCAACTGATTGATTTCCTACCTCAGTGTTCAAAAAGAAATTTATAATTTTTTGTATATTTCTGTACCACATCGTCGTCGTCCACGTAACCGCTCATAAACTAAAATATTGTACCGAAAAGATTTACACCAGAGGATCGAATTTCTTATCAAAGTTATTCTGATCGTCGCACGTTCTTTAGTAATGGTGGTTCGTACACGAAAGCTTTCCCTCCCCGGATCGCGTAATTCTCTTGTATTTTCGAATAGTTATTCTCCCTGGCTATCGAACCCGAAACTTGTCGGTGGAGAAAGTCGGAAGTGGTAGGTATATATATATACATACATACATGTACGCGTGTAACGTGTATATTCGCGTTTTGTTTTCCAACATTAACGTTTCAGACGCACGCGCATTCATCAACCCGTATTTTTATTTTTTATCCCCTTTTCGGTTACCCTTTTTACCATTTCGTTCGAAATAAAAGTAAAAATAAAAAGGGAAAAGCTGTATGCATACTGCGCAGAGAGGAGGGAGCACGCGAAAGAGTAATGAATGCTGTGGCTGTTTGGTTTTTGAACGAGCTGCGGCGGCGGCCAAGTTTATCTAAACCAGCAACAATAAATTGCTCCGGTGTGACGGTAGTGCCCCTTGTCGTAAATTAGACCAGCCTCCCTCTCCTATTTAAAGCGACCGTATCATGTGTAGTGTAGTCAAAAGTTTGATAACACTTTGATAACACAATTATTACTATCCGGATACGTGTATACGCTGTATACGCCGAGAAAATCGATTCATCGTGCGTGCGTGCGTACGTGTGTGTGTGTGTGTGTGTGTGTGTGTGAAGCTAGTCGAGCTGCTTTTTCTTCGGCCAGCTGTTATACATGTACCTGTGAACAGGATACATACATAGGTATGTGATGTGAGAAGTGAGTGGAAGTGAGCTTTATACAGTGCAACGCAACACTGTTTTTTCGTTTTGCACTCCCTATACATACGAATATATTATACATGTATATGTGCATTTAGTTTCCTTATTTAATTTTTGCTGTAATTAAGCTACGTGTTTATTTTTAGTACAACGTTAATTAAACTATTTCGTTCATCACTAGAAACAGAAGTAATATTCAATATGTGGTCCCCAACATCCGAAACGAATAGGAACTTCAAGAAGAAGTTGCGCGTCACGTGTAATATTTATGCATACACACACACACACACACACATATATATATATGTATTGTTGTAGGTTCGTCTTCCGTTATGCCCCAATCACTAGTCGATCTAATCGAATACCATGCACCTAACCATGCACAGGGTTTATAATATAAACTTTATACTAATCACTACTATCGGTTGAAGCTAAAAATATTTATTTTTTCGGACTTCTATGAATTAGGTTACATACACCTATAACATAGGTACATGTGTAAAAGTTGTATACGTCGGTAAAAGCTAAATTAATTGATTACGAAAAAATGAATAGAAGTATAGTAAGCATATCAGAATTATTATTACGATCAATAAGATGGGTTTTAACTCGGATACCTCGTGATCGTTATTCCCTGGGGATTTTCAACTTCAATATTTTATAGTGTTTATACGCTTAGGGTTATATTATTTCGTTAAAACGTTACTAAATCCAATAAGTTTGACGAGTTTTTATAACTCGTTTAGGTAATTGATACCGCACACAAATAATACAAATAAAATTTTCATTATATTTATTTGTAACAAACGATGATTTTCGCATTTTTATTTTTTAAAATGTTAGGTAATAATAATTTCTCATATGAAAAAATTAAATATATATATATATATATATATATATGTGTGTCGCTACTTCGTTAAATTAACGATATATCCTCATTTAATAGATTTTTCGTTATCGATTTATTCAACTTTTACCAGCGCATAATTCTTATATCCTAAGGTAAGTACTATATTTTTCTATTATATTTATAAGCCCTGAAAAATTAATATTTTTAGTTTATAACGGTTTATTTTTATGTTTGTAACTTATGTGTATTGCGATGTGTGTACATATCGTGAGGCACGTTTTAAGTCCGTATAGACAGAACGTTTTGATTATTTCGATGATAGTATTATTGGATCAGATGTAATAATATCAAGTAACGTGCAAACGTCATGTCATCCAATATAATCCTGCATTTCTACTGATCGTCAGACTGACTAAATCGTTTACATGTGATAGTACGGCGGATATCTCAAACTTATAGTGTTTTAATAACTTTTGCACTTCTATTTTATCATAACATGTTTAATAAATTAAAAAACTTAATATTAGAGATTGTTTTATAGATGTATTAGGATCAATATTTTATTTAGAGCGTTGTTAATGAGTAATTGATTACAAATTGATAAACGCATCATGGATTCTTGTAGAATGTGGTCGCAGTAATTTACAAATAAAATAGAGATAATTTGATCTATATTTTATTTAGAACAATGTGTTTTTGAATTTATTCATTGTATATTATCTTGCGATTTACATTTTTTTAATTTTGAACACAAAAAATCTTCAAATGGAAAAAAACTATTTTTAAATTTTATTTTTTATTTTTATGTAATGCCGAGAATGAAATATTGATATTACGTGTAATTTACCAATATCATCAAAGCTGGATTTAAATTAATAAAAATTGTACATTTTGATTTATTTCAGTATACTAAATATAATAAACTAGTAATACTTGTTTTTTTTTTTTTTTTTTTAATTTGCCTTTGTTCGCCAGTAATACTTGTTACTATAGTGAGTATTGATCGTGGCTCATTCAATGATAAAATATGCATGTCAATTACCATTTAATAGTATCTACTTATTTTGAATTATATAGTATCTCTTGTTACTTATTTTTAATTAGGCCATAATGATCGGTTGAATTAGTTGTTAATGGCTAATAGTAATAATAACACGCTGTTTGAAAATAACTCTGTACAGAATGTTGACGTTACGAAATTCATCAGAACATCGGATAATAATTAATTTAATTAGTTAAGTTTTTAAACAATAATTGAAAATATAATGAACGTCGAAGGATTATAATATTTATTTTATGTGTATATTGAATTCGAATCTGTTTAAATTGTGAAACTCATAAGTTGAAGATATTTAATACACTACCGGTGTTGTCACTAAAAGTTCACGCGTTTATCGTTTAGCCGCATAATAGCGCCGTATGAAAAACAAAAACCAACGAATAAATATAATTTTATTGGCTAACCAAATATGAATAGAAAAAAAAATAAAGCTAAAGATCCGTTATGCAATATAAAAAGGCGTTTATTTTTTCGGAATACTTTAACCAACGCTATACTATTATCATCATTACCGTGAACTTGGTGTACAGTAACTAAATGCTACGGGGTAGTGTTAAAATGATAGTTATAAAATCTCTCGGAGGATTAAAGTTGTTGTTGATGCGCAGAACGCAAGGGTGAAATTACTGTTGGGCTCAAAGGCGGCAAAATAACTTCTGCCCCGGGGGGTGCCTAAATCCTAAGTACACCTTTCAGTGTAAGAAACACCATGCGCGCAAAACGTTTATAAAATTTATTTACACACATGCGTGTGCCTTCGCAGCAAGCACACATCGCTGGCAGTGCAATAAACCACTACCTACCACGATGTACTATGCAATACGGTTAATATTATAATTATGCGTCCACAACAAGAACTTCTAGAACGACTATAATGGTTCACCTAAAACACTATACCCTTCGCTTGTATGCAGCGGGTATATGTTTTGATTATTTTCTTCGGTTCTGATTTGCTACTGATCGATCTCTAGTTGGCGTTTTTGATTTTAATAGTTTATTTACTGAGTCGACAATATGCAGTTTAAATTATGTACACAGTTATCTAATAGCTAGCAGTCAATTTTACGAAATGGGTACACTACACGTATGTTGACCAATTTCAGCGTTTGGTTTATGTAATTAAACAAAGTAAATCGCAAACAATACTAACAGTTTTATATTGTGCCTATCATTGAAAGGTGTTTTTCCTATTCTTTACTGATAAATATGAAATTTATGTATTATAATTATTATCTCTAATAATTGACGTATTTTAATGAAACTGCTACCACTTAATTTTTTTTTTTTATTAAATTATTAAATTATTAAATTTTTTACAATCTGTACTAATATTTGCAAATAAACTGTGTAATAAATTATTTATTCTTTTATTTTATTTTTTTATATCACGTAAATGATATGACGCGGGAAATCTACTTAGTAGTAGAACCCAACAAACCACTTAAATTAACATTTTTTACGTTTCATCGAATGACGTATAATAACGTTGACTGACGTACAATAATATCGTATAACACCTTATAATTGTACTGCACGGTAAATGCTTCGTTATATGGCCACACTGTATGAGTAATCGATAGTCGCTAGCGGGCGGCGCCGCCCGTTCAGGCAACACAGTATTACACAGATAACCTTATCGTTTTGTTTCTTACAGTCGCTTTTAGTCCTTTAAACACGTGGATAATGTTTTCGTTGTTTTCTTACGTAATTTAATTTTTTCATCAAAACCGTAAGTCCAGGACCATTATTATGAATATTTGAACAGCATGAAATTGAATCACTTCCAGAAAGTCTTCATTGGATGGTGAGTAATTGTTAGTATAATATTTCATTCTAAAGTAATTCAATAAGTTTTAACTTACATTTTAAGGAACTGAAATTATTATAGTAAATAGAATTAATCGTAAAATAAATACAAATAATTATTTGTATAAAGAATTATTGATAAAAACCACCGATTTATTTGTTTATTATCAATGTATTTCTTAAAAAAGAAGAAAATAATAAAATAATTGTTTCTTATCTCTTTTTTCTCTCTAAATTTCAATGAAATGTTTTAGCTTCTTCCCGAATATGTTCTTACATTTTAATTAAATCTTAACTACCTGAACTCTTTTATGTGTAATAATTTTGGTTTTATTAATTGTATATTATTTCGTTACTTATTTAAAATAAATATGTGATTACTTGATACTGTAATGTTACCATTTAAATTTGAAACACACTTTATGCCAAGATTTTCATACAGCCCATATTAATTATTAAGTAATAGTTATATTACCATTAATTGTAAGTTATTTCTTTATTCTTTTAGGTCATTAGTTATTTCCACCGGGCTTTATTCGTTTGTCCTATCTAAGCGATATATTGATTCCAAACGTTTTGATAGTATGAAAGCTAGAGAACGCATACGTCAATCTAACATTGGTGAATATACTCCTAGTTCTAGAAAATTATAATAACATTTTGGTAACAAAAACAAGATCATGGCTACATCAACAGTACAAATACCACAGAACCTATCTACCTTGCAGCAAGTGGAGTTAGATATGATGGCAGATATGTATAGTCGTATGACTGAATCGTGCAGAAAAAAATGTGTCAAACCTGAACATAAGTCAGGTGAATTGAACAAAGGCGAAAGTGTATGTTTGGATCGATGTATTGTCAAATATTTCCAAATGCACGAGAATGTCGGTAAAAGTCTAAGACTTGATTTTAATGCTAAATAGTTGTATTATATATACTGTTTTAGTGATGCTGTCTTCAATTAATAAAAATGTATTAACATTTATGTAAGATCATATTAATTGTAAGATAAATTGAATGTTTGAGCTAGTTAATATTTATTATTATATTAATTTAATTGGTTTAAAATGTGAATGTAGATAATTATTATAGTTTTTCAAATTGTCTTAAGAAAATAATAAAGGAATATATTTTACAATTGATTTATATGTATTTTGTGTAGAACAAGAATAGATTTACATTAATTAATTATTATTTACCAATGAACTTATTTTACCCTTATTGTTATTGTTATTTTAATTAAAATGTCTAACAATAAATGCAGTTGTAAGTAAATGTGTTTCATAAATTAATATCATAAAATGTTTATTTCTATGTGTTTCTGTTAAAATTATAATACATAAATAATATTGTGACAAAATGTCATAATGTATGTTTGTGTTGGTGGTTTAAGGAATCTTACCAATGTTTGAAGTTAGTACTGTGTTTTGTTAGAATCAAATGTTTATTGTTATGTGTAGAAATGTTACTTTGATAAAATGGAAACACAATATGATTATATTAACTAAAACATTATTCAATGAAAGTTATAGAAGTCTGGCGAATAAATGCTCATTATTATAATTTATTATGAAATATTAATATTATAAAGTATATTTTCAGTAATATTATTTTTAACATAATTTGTAAATAATAATACTCAACAATGAAATTAAAATAATTTAAATTTAATAATATTAAGATTTTAATTTTAAAAATTTAATTAAATCAAAGTGAATAAAAAAAAAGTTCTGACAGATGCACAAAATGATAAAAAACATAAATTACTCATTTAAATAATGATCATAATTGAAGCTATGTTTTCTAAAAAATTAGAGTTTAATTTTAAAGTTTAAAATATCCACAGAAATATTTTTTTATTGATTACAATTAACATAAATAATAAAATTTAATTTAAAATATTGAGAAACCATTTTCTTATGTTTGGTCATTCATTAATGGTAACATGGCCGGTATTTTCGAGTATTATTGAACTGAAATTCTGCCCGAAAATGTAATTGCAAGTATTCTGAACACAAAATATATCATAAAAGTAAGAACACTTATCACAAATATTCTTGAATTTTTTTTCAGAAATATTTTGAAAGTTGTACTTAAATTATTATATTAGAGTTTAAAACTTCTTAGGTGGTAAACACTTATCAAATACTCCGAAAGGAGTCTATTAAAATTTTATCTCCTCACCGATTCCAGTCACTGACATTGAAGTTATCATTTCTTAAATGCTACGTACTTATCCTAAACGCGTTGATCCCTGCCCATTCGCCTTCATTTCCATTTTGGTCAATTCCCCTGAACTATATTCTTAGTTTACGGCTAATTTATTTTACGTTTTTATAAGATCGCGATATTCGGAACATCTTTTAAAAATATAATCATTTGCGCAGCGTGCGCTGTCTGGTGATTTTCATCATATAAAGTAATAATGAAAATTGACCTTTTAAAAATATTACAACAGTGATCCACTTTTTTTTCTTTCTGTTTAATTAAAATTATGGTTCGCTTTTGACTCGTTATTAGTTCTGTACATAACAATGTATATATACGCCATAAAGTCGTTGCGTTTAAATACAATTACTTCGTAACAAACAATTCCCTAATGGCCTTAGACATTAATTTCTTATTTAAGACGTACGTTACTCTATAAGAAAAAAATAAAATGCACTCGTTTTTCGCATAATAAAATGTTCATTAAGATGCTAATGAACGGGTGAAAATAATTAAATTTAGCAGTAACTGTGTATTTAATAATAAGTCCTATATCTCAACGTACAGTTACGGCACGTTATTTTCATTTTTTTTTTTTAATACTAAAGAAACGCCACTTTATAGCTTTAGACAAAGTTTGATTCCGGGTGTCCATTTGTTAAAAATAAAACTAAATTTATCATCATTCGACTAGGTTCTGTGATTAATGCATTACTTTTGCACGTATGTGCTCGTTTACATCTTTCATCGGTAGTTTTTTTTGTTGCTCTATACTGCGGTCGCATTCAAGTATTCGCTGAGTACTTTTCTGGTTGTATCTACCGATGTTAAACTTATTGAACTAGAACTTATTAAATATAAAAATAATAACAGCTTGTGCAAGGCCAAATTAAGCTCCTTTTGGACCCCGGGGCTGAAATTTTATATGGGCCCTTTTGATAAAACGTGGTTTACAAAGCTGCTCGCTACGCTCGCAGAACGATAAATTTTTTTAAACTATTTCACAAATTGTCAATTGCATTATAAAATAATAAAATTAATAGATATATACAATTTATGTCTATAAAACTACTAATTATAATAGGAAAAAAAATGTGTATCGGCTTAAAATTGTTTGAGCTCTTTTTATTTGAGTACTCGAGAGGGCCCCAGGGCTGCTGCCCAGGCTAGACCCCCCCCTTAATCCGGCCTTGGGCTTGTGTATTATTCTAATATTGAAATCATCAAGTTTCCAATTTTGCTATTAATTTCTCCCCATTAGCTTCCCCTTAAAGTAAACCCATACATGAATTACATTTGATAGTTACCTGGGATATGAATTATTGCTGTAATAAATCGCTGTTGATTAAACGACAAAAAAAATGAAGCAAAATTATTTTTAACCGCTTTGTACCGTGTCGAAAACTCGAGGAAGGCTTCAGAGTCGCCTTTATAATACATAAAATGTATATAAAAATTCATAACGGAAGTCATAGAAATTCAATATGATTTCCGTCACAGCGGCGACACCGTGTCGGTAGCAAGGGTGGGCATTTGCCAATACACTTTTGGATAAAAAAAGAAACTTCCGAATAGCAATGCACAACAATAAAAATGTATATAATAATGATGTATATAATATATTGTGTAAAATGTGCAAATGTATTCTCTGACATTCGTCCTCTTATAAAATCGCGTATATTGTTCCTGACATCGTCCTAGCTGTATAATCCTGTAAATGGTAATTATAATAATAATAACAATTAAATAACATCTTTCAAAGGCGTGTTACCGTTAAGTCCCCCGTTTAACCCTTGTCCACGAAATAAACCATACAGTTTATTATGTGTTAGGCTGGGTACTCCAATCAAGAGACTGAGTACTATTGTTTTTTGACATTTTGTGGTTTATGGTTGATAAATAATAATATAGCCAAAAAACTAAATTGAAATGGTGATCACGACCAAATAAAATTATGTTGAATCGCTCTCATTTTATTGGTGGTATCTGCCTGCTTTTATTTTTTCAATTCGACTGTTGGTATATATATAATATTATATAATTTCTAGTGCCGTACATATCACGTCTAATAAAATTCAGAAATGTTATCCGATATAGTCCACGTCAATAATATGATGTAATTCACTACCTTAATGCATACACACGCACTCGCGCGCGCTCAGACTTATACTGTCTTACTAGATCAAACGAAGTTCTAATGGTGATTTTTTATTCTATCTCATACTTAAAAATTTATGTGTGTATGTGTGTGTGTATGTTTGGGGGTAGGTTAGTATGTTAGCGAATGCGTGGGTTCAATTGACTGTGTTGCTGGTGCTGCGGTTCCCCGGGGAAATCAGATGCCGCAAAATGAGGTAAATGAGATCATGGACCACGGAGGAGAGGGTCGAAAAGAGTGTTTGTTTGTAGTTGAGTTTTTGGAAAATTCTTATCGGACCGCGCGATAATATATTATTGTTGTGTAACTTCCTGCGACGTTTGTAATTGTTTTTCTGCACATTGCTTCTGCATTGATTTTCGAAACGACCAACCGTCATTACAATTCCAGTTATCCGTATAATATATCATTTTATAAGTCGTTTTCCTCCAAATCTGTGGAATGTCCACGAACGAGTTTTAAATAAAAATGATAGAACTAATAATTATGCCAAAGCCGCTAATAGACGACTCAATGTTCAAATGGGGTTTACTAATCCAACACTATGGGTTTTTATATCTTGATTAAGAAAAATACAGAGTGGTTGGGATACTTTTTATTGCCAATTAGAAGCTGGTAAAAGCCCACCGAAAAAACAAAAAAAAATTTTGGATGTTGATAAGCGAATCTTTAAAATAGTTAGCAATTATAATAATAGGGGGACATATTAACATTTTTAAGAGGTATCGCTCATAATTTAAGCATGACACATTAATATACTACATATTTATTTTATTATTAGAGTGATATATTGATATTGTATTATTAATTTTATATTTATTATTTATTAAGCATGACATTGTCATAACGACATTTAACATAACAGACCTATTTTATTATTTATTTTATATTATTTGTTTATTAAACAGGACATATTGATATTTTATTAAAATTGTAAATTTTTTGACAATATCTATAAAAGTGAATTATAATATTAATTTTATAGAAGTAAATTTGTGTATTATGTAAATTAGTGTAATCCAGCGCCGAAACGGTCGCGCCAAAATGTCCGTGTCCGCCTGCATATACAATTTGAGTTCGTTTTCATCGTAGATTAGTCTTGGTTAACCGCCGTGGCGTGTGGGCACTATGGGTATTAGATAGGTACTTAAATAAAATCTCATCACAAATACATGGATTTAAACAAACAGCAGCATTCATTAACATACCTAAGAGTTACATAAGTTATCATTCCTTTTTGTTTTAGAATAGTCATATCGTATTTTATAAACAAAAATATTTATTTTTTTTCCTGAAGTACATACCTAATCAGTACATAATAATTAAATACTTATATTAGTTTGACAAAGAATATACATAATTTAAGTGTCTAACATTAAATACAACAATATTAATTAAATCTATTTACACTCTGGTTGAATTTAGTATACAATATATTAGAATAGAAAAAATGGATTGAAAAAAATATATTAATTGTTTCGCTTTTTTAAAAAAATGAAAAATATCAAATTTGGTTTGTAAGTTATTACAGGAAACTAGTGTTCTGTTAATAGGGGGAAAACCCGTTTAGTGTTTTGTGACTAAAAATGTGGAAGGTCAGCCGGCTTCTAGAAATAAAAGTGGAGACTGATATATTAATGTTGCTGAGCAGAAAACTCTTTAATTGTGCCATGTAATATTTTGTAAATACATATGACGTCAAAATATAAACGTCTTGAACTTAAAGAGTTTATATTAACCAGTCTTCTAAGAGGTTCATAGCAGTGGTCCGTTATTATGCAATTATTATGATTTTTCGTATTAATATATCTTAGGAATTTATTCTGAAATTATTGAAAATATTGTTATGAATTCGTTAGATCTACCACTATTGTGAATAAACGAGTAATATAATGTATAAAATATCATTCATAAAGTAATGAATGAATAATTTAATATATTGCTATAATTCATCAAGAAAACGTATTTAATTAGGGGTACCTGATCTAAATAAAATACATTAATTAAACATAAATTATGTACTAAACGCATTTGATTTAAACGTTAATGTTATTTTAAAATTTTGATTTACCTTATATCTTTTATAGGAATGGCAAATGTCACGTGTTCAGAAAATGAGTTTCAATGTAAAAATGGACATTGTATAGCACTTCACTGGCAATGTGATAATGAAGCAGATTGCAAAGATGGCAGTGACGAGGATATTAGAATCTGTCGTAAGTATTACCAATATATTTCAAACACTGTAGATAATGATTTCAGCAACTATAAAATATAGATTTTATAATAAATCTATAAATGTTATAAATCTATAATGTTTTTAACGACAATTATTCTGCTGTTGATACGTGAGATGTCGTAATGTTTCCGAATTGGTAATGATTTTAAATAAATTATAATATCAATCGAATTAAAAAATTATTTTGCTGTTTTCAGTTTGAAAATCTTAGGATTGTAAATGATTGTATTCAAAAAGTGATTTTGAGCGAATCCCGATTTATTTTATGCAGAGTGTAAAACATTTTAAAGTTATATGTGTGTGTAAAAATAAATATAAAATACCTACTAAAGTTCAAATATACTTATTAAAAATATAATAAATAAAATGTATTCTCTATCACGTTATAAAATTCTAAAATGGTGTACTTTATCTTTAAATAAGACACAAAAAAAATGATTTCAAAAGTTATATAAAATGTCCTAAAAAAAATATATTAGAAAATATTTATTGAATATATTAAAATTATAAATTATTTAAATATACAAATTATGTAAGATTTTCATGGATCAATATAAAAATAATAATTCCTTTTTTGTCTACATCCATATCTCTGCATGAACATGAACTCAACAATTGTATGGGCTATGAATGAATAGAAAAATCAGCTGTATAAGAACATGTCAAGAAAAAACAATACGTTTTAATGGTATCAAACTATTAAATAAAGTATAGAAAACCGATGATAAAAGCGAAGAAATAATAGGAATATAAAAATGTTTAGACAACTTCATTAAAGAAGATAAGTGGAAAATAAGTATTGAGCGTAAACTAATTATACACCAAATAAAGATAAAAATCGTATAGGATAAGAATCTCCACGAAGAAAAAAAAAATCGTACATTGGTATGTCTGACTATAATCACAGCGAAAGAAACAAGCGCAAATGTATAAAAGGAATAACAAAATAAATGAAGTATAAAAATGATGAATTCATTTATTTCCAGTGACCAATCAAGATGTGTCACATACAAATAAAATAGAAAATTAACTAACAAAAAATAACTAAGATTAAGTCCTTTTTAATTAGTAAAAATAAAGATCGGGAGCAATGTGAACATATATATATTATTAAAATGGAACCTACAATGAACTAAATAAAATCAGCGCACTACTTAAGACATTATTATATAAACGAGAGAAAAAAAGTAAATATTATAAATAAAAATAATAAATAATAAAAACGAAACAAAATTGGTTTTAAAATTGTTTAAAAGTATTGTTGAGATATAAAATTCTTAGTAAAAAAAAAAAAAATGTAATCCAATGGCTATAATATCCTATAGATAATTTGTGAATATTTTAAAACTAACACAAGAGAATAATGAAAAAATAACAAAATAATATAAACAGTTGTTTCCAAACCACTCAGGTGAGGTAGTTCATAACTTTTTGATATTTGATGAAGTAAGTAGTAATAAAAGGGGGCTTCTGAATCCATATTTTACAATTTTAAAATATATCAAGGGGGCTTCTGAGTCCATTTTTTTTAATTTGTTGTACAATAATTGTAATTAATTATTAAATTTAGACTTTATAATGAAAAGATTAATTTTGTATGAAATATTAAAAACTTATACAAAAACGGACAAGTTATTGAAACACTGGTACATAACGAACTAACACTTATATAATAAAAAATAACTATAAAAAATGTATAAACAAAATAGTATTACAATAAAGTAAGTATATCTCAATATAATTCAAAAACCTCCTTGATATATTTTAAAATTGTAAAAAATGGACTCAGAAACCCCCCTTTTATTACTACTGAAGTACAAGAACATGATACTTATGAAACATTGGTTTTCCTATATAAATTTAGTTGTATAAAAAACATTAAAAAATATTTAATAATTGTTAAGATAAATGAAAAATTTACCAACTTTTTTTAACTTGGTTTTGAGACTAGATAAATCAAAAGTATTTTATTTTGTTCTGTAACATAAAGAGCAATTCATTTATAATAATATACAGGCCTTTAATATGATAATATATTATATAATTAAATATATATTTTATGGTCTATGGAGAACATAATTACCTATTATTTTTGTTTACAATAAGTTTTTTCATAATACATTTATATAGTATATAATAATTACTTTGAATAACTCATCTTTGTTCCATAAGGTTTAAAAATTATTTTATATTTAATATGATTTGAAAGTTATTATATTAGTATATTAAATTCCGGAGCACAAAAATAGTCTACATTTTTTTTTTCTATTTATAAGCTCTCCTATATTGGAATACTTAACGTTTATGGTAGGTATAAAAAAGCTTTTAAGCCCAATTTTTATATTTTAACTTATTCTGATTATTCTGATTATTTTTAAATGATAGAAATTATTGAGATAATATGATAATTTTAAAATGCTAAAGGGTAGTAGCCCGTGTTATTAATATTATTATACATTTGTAATCGTCTTCCGTTGTGAAAACATTTTATTGGATGATTTAGATATTATATTTGCAAACGTCAAACTCAACTGTTTTGAGTTTATAAATGTTATTTGAAAAAACGTCCTTTGTCGTTCGTGATCGTGTACGAATCGAATGCTCTTGAACCAACTCGAAAGCACTAAGTTATTTTTTTCCACGTGTTTACACGGCACTTTATTTTCCAATTGAAATCCAATACCAATTATTGTTTTCAACAACAATGTAATTATTGCAAAGGAAAAACCTTAGCAGTCTAACGTTTTCTTTTGTATAGTTTTCAAATATTTTTCTACTAAGTTTTCTACTCAAACGGAATGTTTAAAAATATATACTACTATTGACTTTTAGAAAATCGAGAATTCAATTTTATTCTATTGCTTACGTTTAAGTTTTATGGTTAATTAAATTTGTTTCTATTAATTATAACTGGTAACGAGTTTTTGTATTTAATCTTGTGTACTTTTAATAACTTACCGAACTGTTTCACTTATTTCGACCGAAATGTATTATATATATATATATACTGTATAAACAAAAATTATGTACATTTATTTGTCCTAAAATAAACTTTTATTTTAAATTCAATACAATAGCAGGTTTATTATGAAAACATTTTTATTTGATGAAAAGTACCTACCTACAATGATAAGATTACAGGTACATTGTTGAATAACAACACAAAAATAAAGTTTTATGCAAATCCCCTTAGGAAAAACTTCATTACTTCATTGGTGAATAGGAACTAAGAAATACGATCAGAAAAAAAATACTATCATTTTTTTTGTATTTTTTTTTTTTTTTAATTTTTTCGTCTTATATTTTTCAATCGTAAATGGTTACCTGAAGTTCAAAATTGTAAAAAAGCTGTCTATCCACCTTGTTAATATAACAATAAACTGTTTTTCTTCTTAAAAAACAAACTTTTCATGCACTTCGATTTATATTTTTTTACTTAGTATATTCTAATTCAATATTTTTTAATATCTGAATACATCTGAATATATTTTACTACATATGAAAATTAAAACTAAATTTTACTCACTTAAATTATATTAATATATCTTAGAATTCTAAAAGTCGCTGTCAAGTCGGTAAAGTTAAACTATAGGATCAATAATACTTTTATTTATTTTTTTTTGTTGTTCTTCACTCTTTTAATAATTTGTATTCTCAAAGTACAAAATAACCAAGATATTTATTTTCTGTGGGAAAACTATTTAACATTTTTATAATCATTATATTTAATATTTTTTTGTAAAAGTATTTAATTTTTATAGATTTCTTCTATTGTGGACTTCAGACCATAGTTTTTCAATTTAAAAATTTTTCTAATATCAAAAACAAAATATCAAATGAAAAACTTGTGTATTTATTTCGTTTCACATTTAACAATATAAAAGTAATTACGATTCAGTGTGATATGTACACGTGTAAAGAGGTCCTACATAAGCAATAGAATGTTCTAAAATAATTTACGGATAGATCACAAATGACATTTTACAGACAATAAACCCTGCAACAACCAACAATTCCAATGCGAACTCGGGTCGTGTATATCAGATTTTTTGGTATGTGACGGGAACGCGGACTGTTTAAACAAGGCAGACGAAATGAACTGCAGTAAGTCCCACCGCGGTGCCCCTTTATAATAGTATCTATAAAGCAATGTAGACTTCATATCATACGGATCTTATGTGTCGGGGTTTTGTTTTTAGTTTGAGCATTAGGTTATAAGAAAAATATTGTATTTTACACGATACGCTAATATGGGTTCGTATATCATGCTTATACATAATATGGTGTAGATATCTTGAACAACAATAATTGTTATTAAATGACACACATAATACATATTTTATGATATTAATATTTATTCAATAATTAACATTGTAACATACATACACACATTTTTTAACATAATATAATGTCGAAAAATAATTATTGGTATACATTAGATACATTTGGTATACGTTATATATCAACTATATCTCTATCGTCCTTTTATCACCATCGTTGTACACCCATTTCATAAATATTAACTAAATATACAATCATCGTATCGCTTGAATCTGCACGAACGCTTTATGTCATGTTTGCAGAAAAACGTGTGTGCAATACGGACGAGTTCACTTGCCGGAAGACCAAGGGCGAGTGCATCCCGTTGACGTGGATGTGCGATGGAAATGCCGATTGTTCTGATGGTTCAGACGAGAAGGAGTGCAGTAAGCAAAAATACGATTTGGTTTTATTTTATTTTTTGACTATTCATTCATATCTTATGACCATCACATCACATTGTATTTGCCATTATATACCTACGCGTTATAAACATCGTTGTATATATTATCTGTTGGTGTTGGTTGGATATAGTTTAATTTATTTTTATTTATAATACACATTTATATTGCAAATAATTTTTTTCCACGCATATTATATGGTATAACAATATGGTATTATCATCGTGTATGCTGATTATTTTTTCCTCTCAGATGAAACATGCAGGGACGATGAGTTTACATGCGGTAACGGAAAGTGTATCCAAAAGCTTTGGGTGTGTGACAGAGACGATGACTGCCAAGACGGTACGGATGAACTTAACTGCCCGAACATCACTTGTCTGCAGTCCGAATTCGCTTGCATCAAAGACAATACTTGTATCACGTTGAACTGGCGCTGTGACGGCGACTTTGATTGTACCGATCACACTGACGAAATCGTAAGTTCTAGATGGAATTACTACTCAAGGCAGATGTTGATAATTCCATTTATAAAGACTATTGAAAACCATATAGGCTTAACCATATAGGTACTCGTATCTGAAAGGATCGAAAATGTTATTCGAGTTATCGCGGCTCGACTATACTTATTCTTGTGCATTTTTTAATCGTGATACTCGAGACTAATAGCTCCATTAAAATAAAAATATAACAAAATCTATTCATAAAATTATTATTACTATGTACTCATAAACTTATCAATTGTATAAATCAAAAATAAAAATTGTACTCACAACTTAATTTATTTATTGTAAACTTGAAGAAACGTTCATAAATAATTTAAATGTTCTGCAGGGTGAGATAACATTTATTTTTTCTTCAAATATTGCTTCTCACATAAAAAAAAATTGCGAGTTTTGCCGTTTTAGCAAATATAAATAAATAAAATGTATAATATAATAATTATTGATTTCTAGAATTGTAGGTGTATATAGGAGCAGTGTAAGACTTTAAACATTTTGATTTTTCATTATAATTAAACAGAACGAAATTAATAATTGAAATTCATCACTATTTAAAAGCGTTTTTGTCAAGAATAACTAATCAGAGTGGAAATGACGTTTAAATTTATTAAGATCTTTTAACATGATCAAAATTTCACATTAATTAAGAAGCTCCTTTACACATAAATTTCATTTCGTTACAATACTTTCCGACTAAACGTTCAAAGTACATAGTAATTAATATTTATAATAATTGTGTATTAAACTACTTTCGTTTGTTGTATATAAGCTTTAATGAGCGTAAATTCGTTTATACTTCATACTACGAGGTGTGACAGTAAAATAACGAGACTTTCTTAATAAAAGTTATTTATTTTTAAAATTTTACAATTTTATGATTGTCACCTTCAAAGTATCTACCCTCAGCATCAACACACTGTTGCATACGTCGCTACCATTCTTGAAAACAATGTTACTCGTATTCAGTATATACAATAATTATTCCTTAAATACGATTATACTAATAAAGACTTCTATCAAGCATTTCGAATATTTGTAGACATAACGAATAGTATAAAGACATATAGTTTCCACAATATAACTAAAATTATATTTAGTAACCCTCTTCTTCGACTCCACATTTATCCCATGATAATTGACGCAAACCTAAGGCATATATCTAAAAGAATAATTATTATTCTTATAAGGCAATCGGTTCCAGGTAGTTTTAGACCAAATTTGAAAACATTGTTAAACTCAAACAGACCTATATGAATCTTAGCGAACAAAACATATATCCAATAACGGATCTAGATATTGAACATGAGTAAGTTCGAATTTCCATTAAATCCCTTTCCATCTCAGATATATATATATTTTAAATGATTCAGACCACAAATAAACACAGTGGGTGAAAATCATATCGAAATTACTGACTTAAAATCTATCACCGATAACAATTATTACACAGTATATTTATTTGTGGCTTTTAATCGGTTCTAAAGGGCTGCGCGGAAACCTCCAGAATATCGCAGTGTCGTTCTAATGAATTTGAGTGCGATGACCACAGCCATTGTATTATTCAATCTTGGGTTTGCGACGGTAGCGTGGACTGTGCTGACGGATCCGATGAAGCCTCTCACCGTTGTCACAACACCACGTGCCGGTCCGATCAGTTCCGTTGTCGGGACCACACGTGTATTCCTGGATTCTTGCATTGTTCTGGTACTCCTGACTGTACCGATGGTAGTGACGAAGAAAATTGCAGTAAGTTTTTTGTTGTTTAATTTTTTTAATACACCTTTATGTTGAAAAAATTCCCACGTCCGATTTTGTGTTAAATATTATTTTCTTAGTGGTATTCAATTATCATACTAAAAAATCTCTTGTTTAAAACTTATTCGATTTACACATAGATACAATTTAATAATTTTTTAACAAAAAAAAAATAAAAATATATTTTCGTCTTGTTCTGGTAAAAGTTGTAAAATATAAAACTTAAGTTGAAATCACAAAAATTCTTAAAATTAGGCCCGAATAACTCATTTTCTAACGTTTACACTGGTGTCGTTTTCAGAAGAACCAGTGCACAAATGTGATCCGTTTACTGAGTTCGATTGTGGTAACGATGAGTCTGGTGGCATGTGTATACCCATGTCGAAGGTGTGTGACAAAAAAACCGACTGCCCCGGATTCGAAGACGAAGAACAGGACGCTTGCGGAGTAAACGAGTGTTTGATCAACAATGGTGGATGCTCGCAAATCTGTATTGATTTGCCACACACTTTCCGCTGCGCCTGCAAACCCGGCTACAAGCTGATTAGCAACAACACGTGTGACGGTCAGTACAGTGATGTAGTATAAACTATCGTGAAACAACAACAATTACGTATATTGACCTAAACGCTTTAGAAAGTTTCTGCGATTATCATTTTACTTAAATCATATGATAATACGTTCGTATCCAATTAAACTAATTTGTATGTTCCTAATCAGCTTACCAAATCTTGATTTTTCTTGCTAGTATATTTAATTTACGTTATTTTTGTATGATTACAGTTTAATTTTCGAATTAGTTTCGAAGTATGATGTTTTATTTTACAGTTACTTTAAATATAATTTAAACTGTACTGTGAAACTACTAGTAAAATATGTACATGTATAATCTAAACCAAGGGAGACGATTAATGTCCATGACTCTCTCGTAAATACACCACTAAGGTATGTGAGGCACTTGTATATATAAGGAAACCAACTGTAATAATAAATAGAGCACTACAAGTAATGGCTTATTTCTCCCCGAGGACTTATGATCCACGAAGTTGTCGTCATACATTTATAAATTTATCGTGTTACAACATCAGACTGACCCCCAAAGCTTTATTTACAATATTATTAAATTGTTTTATGATGTCATGTGCAATTTTTCAAGACATTTGTTTATTTTTTTGTAGACGTAAACGAGTGCGAGATCGAAGGTAGCTGTTCTCAAATATGTATCAACGAGAAAGGCACATACAAATGCGAATGCGAACCAGGATACTTGAGAGATCCACAAGACCACACTAGGTGCAAGGCTATGGAAGGACATGCTTCTCTGTTATTCTCCATGCAACATAATATACGGAAGATATCATTAGATCATCACGAGATGTCTGCAATCATCAATAGCACAAAATCGGCCACAGCTATTGATTTCGTATTTCGCACTGGAATGATATTCTGGGGAGATGTATCAGAAAAGAAAATTTACAAGTAAATAAAATTTTTATATTTTATTTCCTAAAAAAAAAAAAAACTATCCATCTCAGTCTTTCGATTTTTCTACCTTTGTATTTGTACAGGTACGAAAAATTAAACCGATACATTATTCGAAATATTACACGTTAGAAACTCGTTTAACTCTGAAGTACATTAATAATTTCAAGTCTCTAGAGATAGATTCGTTCTCGGAATTATTCTTAACAGTAAAATAAGAATAAAAAGTTTTATACTCGAGTTGAATATTTTTCATAAGTATTTGCAGCTACTTATTGTTACTGTTATTATAATTATGAATAATTCCAGAACAATTATTAAACATAGTTTTCAAGCGCTAATAAAATATGAAGTATTTATAATACAATTTTTATTCATCTTCAAAAACGAATAACTCTTAGGAGTATTTTGTTTGAAACATAATACATAATAGTTCCAGCCAAACTTTTCAATAACTTTTAGCAATAAAACTAGTTCGGTGTTATATTGTATTATTTTATAGTAAACGTTTATTAAATCTGCTGTGATTATTTAAAGACTGCGAAAACGTTAATCGTTTCTTTTTTTTTTTTTTTTTACGTTATTAACGGTGGATTAATTTTAGAGCCCCGATCGATGAAGGCAGAGAACGGTCTATTGTTGTCGAGAGCGGCTTATCATCAGCCGATGGATTAGCTGTAGATTGGATTTATGGTCACATTTACTGGACAAACGCTGACAAAGATTCCATAGAATTGGCCAACTTCGAAGGCAACATGCAAAAAACATTAATAAAATCGGAACTAAAAGAACCTAGATCGATTGCTGTAGATCCACTCAATGGGTAAGAATACGTGATGATAAGTCTGTTTTCTTTTGAGAGATTTCATATTTTCGTGCTCTTTTTGTGCTCTCATTTAAATATGATAGATTAACAACATAATACTTTTGATAACTTAAAAGGTTAAATTAAACCGGTGAAACGAATAGTAAATTAAAACGATTTGAAAAAGATACTCCTTGATGGACTTTCTTGTTTTCAGAATACCAATACGTGGTTTTAGCCCTCTGAAAAAAATCACTGTTTTACAGGAATCTAATTATAAACTCTATAGCACCTATGTGTACATAGTCTTATCGATTTGATTTTTCGGAAAACGTATGGAATGTCCTCATCTTTGCCGATGGGTATTTGAATGTATAATGACCGACAACCGTGGGAATTTTGCGAATTTATTTTTATTTTCGAGCATCGTCAAACATGGCCCGTGATGTATCTGTGTTACAGGTGGTTGTACTGGAGCGACTGGGGCAGTAACGCGAAAATCGAAAGGGCCGGTATGGACGGGACTCACCGACAGGTGATCGCGTCGTTCGACGTGAAATGGCCCAACGGACTCACCCTGGACCTGGTGTCGAAGCGGCTGTACTGGGTGGACGCCAAGCTCCACACGATCTCGGCGTGCAACTTTGACGGTTCCCAGAGGCGCCTGGTGCTGTTCAGTCCCACTTGGCTACCACACCCGTTCAGCATATCCACGTTCGAAGACTCCCTCTACTGGTCCGACTGGAACCAGAAGGCGATAATCAAGGCCAACAAATTCAACGGTTCCAACATAACCACGGTCACCGCTTTGCACATGGTAATGTTATACGCGTGCTGCAACGCACAAGAGGGCGCCTTCGCGGTCCGACGCCGCGTAACTGAACCGTGTTTTTGTTTTTCGCACCACGTTTTCAATCGCCATTTCACGGTTATTCTCGCCGCGAACGCGCCCCCTCCGGGGCGTATCGAGAGAACTCGCAGGTAGTAACGTCGACCGAATGATTGTTTCACAGACCCAGAACCCGATGGTCGTGCACGTGTACCATCCTTACAGGCAACCGGACGGCATAAACCATTGCGCGGCCGTCAACGGCCATTGTTCTCATCTTTGCCTTCCGGCACCGCAGATCAACAGCGAGTCGCCGAAAATCTCTTGCGCTTGTCCCAACGGTCTCATGCTAATGTCCGACGGCCTTATGTGCGCCGAAGAAGGTAAGTGTTCTTTGTCCGGTACACACATATATATATTATACTTCCCCCCGCGCGCGCTATTATGCGCCTCCGACTCGGTGATCTTTTTTTATTTTTATTTTTTTTTCTACTACAACGGCTAACTTGTTTAATTTGTTTATTCTATTGTATTTTATTGATTTTTTTATTTTTTTTTTTTTTTTTTTTTAGTAGAATCGATCTTTGTTTCTACTACATATTAGTTATAACGTTTTGATTTTTTTGTTTTTGTTTTTCACCGTTTTTTGTTTTTGGTTGAATAATTTTACAGTTGTTAAGAACAAAACAAACAAACACAGACCTTATAAAATACCCAATAGTACGCTGTTAAGTGAGTATATCCGTCGAAAATATCTGTATACATACACGTGTCTCTTCTTCTTTCTTCTGTGCAAAACTACTTTAATTTTTATATACACACGCTTACGGTGGTTGGTTAATTATTCTACCTAATACATATCCCATGTTCCATCTATATCTGTACGCGCTCTAACACATAGCATTCATATTGTATAATTTTAATTATATTATTGACTACGGTTACTATCGAATCAACGTCTAGACTATATCAAACGTCGTACCAAATATTCGATTTATAGTTGCGAAATTTACAATTTCTCTTCCGTTTTAAATCTGAAATTGAACCGCTGAAAGTTTTTCCTATATTTTTTCGCTATTACTAAAAGTTTTCAACATTATTACAATTAAACAAAAAAAAAAAACTTTTCTTCGAATACGTGATGATAATAATTGCATACTATATTATTGTTGATCAATATGATTGTGTGGGTCTTGTTTTATGAGTTTCGAAGTAGTTCTTCCATTTCCTCTTCATACCTCCAGAAAACTTCACGGGCCCACAAAATGTTATTAAATATGTGTTAAGATTTCATGATATCTCACAAATGCTCTTTATAAATTCTCATCACCTTGAGGGTCATTTTGTTTTTCCATTAAAGTAAATAAGAAACTATATTCTTTGAAATGTTAGAAATTCACTTAAAAGTTTGAGCGTTAAAAAAATAAACTTCAAGGTATATAGAAATAAATTTTTCGTAGAATATTTTAATATAAAGATGTTAAATAAGCTGCTATGGGATGGTTTGTTATTAAATAATTTACATGTTCGCGTAGATTTTTTTTTCTTTATCCAATCTCAATTTCACTAAAAATCACGTATATTTTTTAGAAAGATTCAAAAATAATTTATTTCAAACTTGAGAAGAGTTAATAAACTTAATGAGCACAAAAAGTCAAATTTATGCATTTATTCAAATTTTATGAATTAACATCTATATAAATAAAAACTTCAATCATCATCGAGTGAATAGAACCTTACTCTAAACTGATGCCAATCGAACTTTTCAGTTATTCAACCTTTTTCGAATTTCGTTTCCTTTATTAAAAACTAAAAACTCTTACACCAAAAACATATAGCTTAGTTTATAGTATTTCAAAGTATCAACATTATACTGAATAATAGAAGCGTCATTATACTGCAGTTCGAAAATGGAAATCTATTGTTGGACGATACCATTTTTAAGGCAACAAAATCAGTGTATTTTTCAACCGAGCTAAACTGATTTAAGATTCTAAGTGCTTCTTGTACAGTGGGGCACTAAAACGGTCGATTTTCAAAGATAAATTTTCTCAGTAGCAATTAAAGTAAAAATTCTCTCTGAATATTATTAGTTGCAAGACAACATGCCATTTAGTAAACATGGAACAGTGGAGTGCTGAACAAAGTGCTTATGCGATAAAATTGTTTTATAAAAATAATAATAGTTACGTAGCTGCACAGCGTTCATTTGTTCGTCTTCATTTTAATCTTGAACGCCATGATTCAGTACTATCGGCATGGCTATTCAAATATGGGTAACCAACTTTTAAGAGTCGGGTTCAACATTAAAAAAGAAGCCTGTACGAAAAAAAACACGTCGCTGTGTAAAATCCGACCTAGACTTCTACTGAACAAGTTTTAAAAAAAACATATGTTTTGTGCAGAACATTTCGGACTCCTTATGAGAGCGGTCTTAACAGCAGTGATGTTTATGAATGCTTTTTTTTACGGGCATATATTTTTTAATGCTAAACCCGTGTCTTCAAAGTTAGTTATCCATATTTAAATAGCCTTGCCGATGGTGCCGAATCATGGTGTTTAAGATTGAATTGAAGACGAAATGAACGCTGCGCAACTATGTAACTGTCATTATTTTTGTATAATGATTTTATCGCATAAGCACGTTGTTCATCACTCCACTGTTCCATGTTTACTAAATGGCATGATGTCTTACAACTAATAATATTTAGAGAGAATTTTTATTTTAATAACTAATGAGAAAATTTATCTTTGGAAATTGGCCATTTTAGTGCCCCACCCTGTATTAAGATTTTCACTAACCTGTAATGGTTCGTCGGGTATTGGTCGTACTATACTCGTAATATTAGTAATATTACCTAATAAATACCAACCGTTAGGATAATACAAACCATTATGTTATCATGTGTCATAATTATATAGTGCATTTACGATTTTTATGTCACACATGCTGTACATTTTTTTTTATTTTTACAATTCCAACAAAATTAAATCACGGTACAGAACGTATTGTTTTGCCCAGACTATCGATTTATTATAAATTTCACTGATCGTAGTAGCCAGCGATGGCACGAAAATATAATCAATTAAACGAGATAATGTTCCCTACGCGCTCAGATAATAATGCTATAATGTCAAGAAATGTACGAAATTAATTTAAAAATCCAATCGTATTACATCGATGGTATCGCACGGAGTGAACACTTCAGCAAAGAGGGTATTTGATAAGTAATACCTTGATTTTTATTTTTATTTTTTGAGTTTACCATCACAGTATCACATTCTGCAGAAATACGTGTACAGAACGGTTTTCACCAATTGGTTTTGCTCTGTGCAAACATCGCTTTACGACTCCATAAAATACAAATACCGATACGATGTGTACTTACGCGTTTTACGACGGTCGTCTATAGATACCAACGTAGAGGTTGGTTTTTTTTTTTTTTTTTTTTTGTTGATTTTTTTTCTTGTCGTTCACGTCGGTTCAAAAGCGTTTTGGCACGAGTTCGGTTTTGTTCGCCATCCGTCCTGTACCGTGTATTAATAATAATAATAATAATAATAATAAACGCGCGCTTTTGAAAGTGCACGCGCACGCACTATGTAAGCGACGCATCGCAACGAAAATAGAACTCAACGACAGTCGGCGGTGAAGGAGTAGGGACGGGTGGGCGAGGATGTTTGTGTAGATGTTCCTACGCCATTCAATTGTCCGCGCGCACTATAGTATGCGCTGTTACGGCCGTCAAAGAATACCATCGACGTATAATAATAATAATCGTATGACCGTCGGGTAACGGGGGAGGGGGCGAGAGTGCAAGTCTTTAACGTGACGACGGCAATAATCATTTGAAGTCGTTAAATATTCCGAACGGAGGCTCAGGACCTTGAAACGTTGCGCAGCAGGACGCGAAGAAAAAAATCGAATGGCGCACGGTCCTTGACGGTCTCGTCCGTCTTATTAGTATTTATTTAATTGTTGCGCGTCGATACATGTGTAATCGCTCGCAGTCGCCTACCTAATACGTTCGTTCCGTACGAATATTACCGGATCAGTGTTCGGTCTGCTCTCGCGCGCATGGTATAAGTTACTCGTTATTACCGTTCGAAATATTCGTCTTCGCGTCGTAACACCCGTAACCGGTGCAGTACGTAGACACGGTAAAAATACGTGCATTTTCGACCACGACAGTGCGTGCGCGCCGTGATATCTCCAGTTTTTAATTAAAAATTAAAAAGGGTAAGCGATTTTTTTTTCACGCGCGGCAAATTCTCCTTTTCCGAGCATAAACTGCACCCCTTACCGGGCATGAGCTTTTGTTCTCGCTTTGTCGATCCTAAACCGAAAACACACTCTTGCGAACCACCATTTGCGCCGATTCTCTTTTTTGAGAATTTCTCGCCAGCCGCTTGCCATTTTACACACTATATTAAATCACTTCTGCAACTACCAAGCCGCAAACAAGTATTTACCTACACTTCGCTACTGATGCATCGACGTCACATTCTATCGCTAGACCGTATCTTAAGTCGCACACGCATATTAATATTATTGGCATATTAATGTTTATATTCCGTCCAACGGTGGTGGATGATGGTGGTGGCGGCAGCAACATTTGTTTTGACCCAAGTTCACGCTGTATATACATAATTATTATACAGTGCATATACTTTCTTTTGTGGTCTTCTTATATACATGTTCCGTTCGATCTAACGCACGTCGCTCTCGTTGCAGATATGAACAGAACGATGACGGAAATCAACGTCAACGATCACAAGGAACAACAAGACAGCGGACTCATAGCTGCCATAATCATATTTTCCGGTTCGCTATTGATAACTTTGGCCGCCCTGGTGAGTACCTACCTATTGTCTTCATAACGATTAACATTTCCGTCGGATACAAATGTGATGATACGTGAACTGCGGTTAAACCATCACGCGCAGGGCCTATAATTTACAATTTTTATGCATACTAAATTTTAAACAAACTTTTTTAACCCGTGAACTGTGGTGTGTTTTACAGTAAAAAATAAACCTATAATTTTTAAAAATTGATTTAAATATACATCATAATTGAAAAATTATGTAATTTTTTCTGCGCTCAATATATTCTAAAATATTCGTTTATGTAAGCGAATGTTTTTTTGATCGTAAAAAATTGTGTTGTATTATACATTTTTTAAATTTCGTAGTACCTACATACATCCGTAGGCCCTGCGTAACAGGATATACGCTGCATCGTTCTGGTGTGCCTATAGCTAATGATAATAAATATATAATCAAAGATATAAATAAATATGCTTATAAATCGCAATTGCACATAGTATCGTGGTCATTTAAGATTTAGAACAACGTAAACAATGTTATACAATGACATAGCTATGGTGTACGAATACGCATCGTCGCAAAGGAACTTTACACTTACATAACATATGCTTGCACATACATGCGTTGAGCTTATATTACAACTATTTGGTTTTTACAATCTTCCTCTTTTAACAGGGGGCTTTCTTGTTGTACCGGCACTACTTGCACCGCAACGTGACCAGCATGAATTTCGACAACCCTATCTACAGGAAAACGACCGAAGATCAGTTCACGTTGGAGAAGAGCCAGTACCAACCGGCCAGGGTGTATCCTACGTCCATCGGCGAAGAGGTAAACTTCAACGTTATCATTTAAAAAAAAAAAAAAAAACTTTTCAGCCTTCTAAAATACCGTTCGGTTTTCGATATTTTCCGCTCTTAATATATGTTTGTTTTGCCTTTTTACACGCTGCGTGTTAGTTTTTTAACGACAACTCGGTAAGTTCAAAATTAAACGACAGTGATCATAACATAACAGTTATTTTACCTATACAAGTACACGACTGCATTATCGCGGAATGTTTTTTACACGCTATAATATAGTAGTTGCATCGTCTCGTTACATTGTTTATTTATTTTTCTGTGTTTTTGTTTTATTGCAGGCCCAAGAGCCGTTGACTCGTCCTGGCACAAACGAGTACGTCTAAAGTATAGACCGTTTTAGTTTCTCTGCGCACAACACTAGTCAATGGAAATATAAAAATAAATTAAATACAAATTGTTGTTCACGAAAGCGCAATTGTACACGGCCAACGACATATCTGGCAAGTTACCAATTTCACGCGTAAATTTGCTTCAAGTGTTCAACTTACCCGAATGACTAATTTTCTTCTCCTTTATTTATATTTTGTTGTACAACATTCAGAGTCTTCCCAGCGTTTTCATACACACAATTATTATAATTATAATACTTCCTTACGCCAATAATTTAATGAAACAGTTCCTATTGTATAATTTGTTTTAAGTTATGTTATTAATATTTATGTAAAAAAACAAAAAAAAACAAAAATAATTTGTTTAAGCTATGCGGTTTGCCTTTAACGACTGAGGTGTATGTGCCAAAAATTAAGAATTGAGTTTTTTTTTTTATTTAAATTTTTTTTATTGTTTGTTGCTCAAAAAGTATAGGAATCCTTGATCTGCATCAGTTCGCTCGTTTGTTCAATTATTTTAATCGATATGTTTACTGTCCATGCTGGTTTTTTTTTTTTTTTGGAAAATTAATATGAAATTATTGTAATTTTAGGAAATTTACGATATGTATATATATATAGTTAGTGTCATTACTGTTGATTAGTAATTTTAGCTGCTAATTATATACTCAACTATATATTATAGTTCCGTTATTTATTGAACATATTTTTTAAGCTTGTCTGTCTTATTAGATCAAAAAATCGTATTTTTAATTGGATTATAATTTTTACCTATAATATACATTATACGTGTATAGTATATAAGGAACCCAGTTAGGCCTAGCGGGTAGTTATGATTTTATCGATTTCGTATGTTTTGAAAATTGTAAGCCATGTTTACGCGGTGGTCCAAAAAAGAAATGTATATATTATATATATGAAAAAATCGGAATGGTGGAATGGATGAGTATACGCGTGCAATCCCACTTACCAAAAAACACTCGGAATTGCATCGGTTTACAACACCAGCCTAACACAATATACTACTTTATGGAGACTATTGATGACCGTTAACAGTCATTATTCTCGTTCTAATAATATAATTATATTATAATATATGTATGTGTACCATTTCGTTAGATAATAATAGTTTTTATTATTTAACTGTGATTTTTTTTTTTGTTTTTAAATATTTATTTATTAATTATATTATACGAGTATGCAAATATATATATATATATATATATATATATATATTAGTGAGGCCCATTTTGTAAACTCAAATAAATAGAAAAAAGTCGTTTGTAAATGTATGTTTTTTTTTTTTTAATCGATGAAAAACTAAAAATAAAAAACACGATCGATTATTATGCGTATCTGTTACAATTTCAAAAAAAAAAAATAAAGGTATATCCGTACCAAAACGATTTGGGTTCATGCGAAAAATTTCACGCCCGATCCGCCTTCCAACGTGAGTATTTCCGCCTGCTGACGTCTCTCCAAAACTCTCAACGCTTTAGTCAGAACACCATCGTCGATACCGTTCAGGTCTAAAAAAAGAAAAAAATAATATTGTAGCAAGTATTTACAAAAAAAAATTCTAACAGTGCTAAAATTCATAAAAATGAAGTGAGAAACTCTAGAAATATAAAAGTTCTTCCAATTTTTTTTCAAATTGTTACTCTCCGTGTGAGCAGACACTTCACTCTAACAGCCAACTCATATATTCAATTTACTTTTTTCTGTTTTGACCATTATTGTTCATTATATAATTTTTTCATTATAGAATCATTTTAAATCGTAACGAAAAATAAACAAGGTTTGAGACCGGGCTCAACCCGATTTCGAGCACAAATTAAGGCCTTGTAATGAGAAAGCTTATTTCAACAAATAAAGTTCAAAATAGGGATCACATTGCTGCAATCGAAAAAAATTTAAAAGTCAAATAAACAGTTAAATTTAAAAACAAATTACTATTTTCAGAATTGAAAACATAACAACTATGGTGAATTGTAATCAGAATTGATAATCGGACATTTTTTTATTTTTATTACGTTATCAAAACCACAACGCCAATCTAATTTTTAATAAAAAATTTTCTTACCAACAATCAACGGTATAGGTAAGTTTAAGTTCACGGACTCATTTTTTTATTATTATTATTATTATTATGAATCAATAACTCGTCATTTGAATACAATGATTAATAATTGCTTTTAAAAATCGATTCCTGAAGTTTAAATCATAACCAGCGTACCAAAAAATCCAAAATCGAAACCGTTATAGGCATGACCAGGATTTTTAAATGGAAGAGGCTAAACACTTTTTTGCGCTGGTTAGGTAGAAGAGAATTTGAAAGTTGGCTCTTAGTACTAGGATTAATATAATTGCGGATGACGTGGAAAATAACAGGATTCGGAGGCCGCGCCCTGCAGTGAAATGCGTAGTAGATCGGTCTACGACAGGATTATTGTTTTCTATTGATATTGTTAACAGTCGCGTTTCGCGCGACGCAATCGACCACGGAAGAACTGCTGTTGCGACGTCGCGTCGTATAGTTCAGAAGGAAGAAAGTTTTCAGTAACGAAAAAGTAAATAAATTGTACACGTGGTACGCGTTGATGCATAGTAAGGAAAGATTTTTTATTTTGTAATATGCACATATCCTTTGTATCTAGTGCTGAATTCGTTCGGATATCGTTGACCACTCACCGCCACTGTCGTTCGCTATCTCGTAGAACGTGCACACCGTGTTGAGCATAGCGTTGTCTTGGGCCCATTTGTACACGATCGACGCCCATTCGTCCAACGTGTGCCAATAAACGTGCCATCTGAAAGAAAGAAAAAAATTTGAGTAAAATCCCCAGTTGACTCTCTCAACTTGATGAGCACTTTGAAACTTTGACGCAAGTTCTCGCGCGTAATCCGACTTTTAATCTATTTCTAAAGTAAACGCGCTGTTCCTCGCGGGCTCTGGCGTGTACGGTTTACTTGTAATCCTGTGGAATCTGTCGTACCAGTCGTGAAACGTATTGAACTGTAATGGTTAATACCCATTATCGAAATAACAAAACGTAACGAATTCCGGAGAACATCATTAACGAATTAAAATCTCACTCTTTTCAGTAATTCGCCTGACTTAAATAACATACTCATCATGTAATATTATCTCGGTTCAACGTACGTAATTTATCTCTCTTCTCGTGCTTGAATAAGTCACCCAGCTTCGCTTTCGAGTTGATCATCAGTGAGTTTAAAGACTCTCTCCATTTTTAACTACACACGACATTTTAAATAAACTAATTTAATCAAAGCGCGCGCTCTCTCTCAGCACTTTTCATCGCGTATTTTTGTTAATTATCTCCATAAATAATTTTGTCCTTAAATTCCAAAACCAATTAATGATTAAATGTATTTCTTTGGAAAATAATTTACAAGTACACACTTCTTTCATCCTGATTATCGATTAGTGTATTTCTGCAGCAACAAAAAAAAAATGTTCGTATTTTTATATTTACATTTTTACGAAAGAAAAAAATTTAAGGTAAAAAAAAATACAAAATCATAATACATAAAAACAAAAACAACAAAAACACAAATACCTTATATGCATTTATAAACTTTATACGCACAGGGACGGTATGAAAGACCCATATATATATATATATATATATATATATATATATATATATATATTACCTATTTAATATTTAAAAGTAATTCGAAAGTAATTATGTACATATTCCAACGGGAAATACAGTAGCCACAGCGAATTACAACGGTTTATAGGAATTACTCGACATGATCTCAAACCCCCCCCCATAGGGAATTAGAAAAAGGATCGAGAAATCGAGAAGAATCCTGCATATTAAACAGGCTATTATATAAGTGTAGTATTATTTGAACGCGACTGCGATTTAATTTGAAATCACTCGGCTTTCAACAAATAATGTCATAACGTATTATAATAATGTAGGTGCGTTGAATACCGAACCAATTATAAGTACCATATTATGAACACACAGCCTCGAAGAGCATAATTTGTGAGCGAACGTAAGAGTAACAACAAATAAATATGTGTACGGCTGATAATAATTATCGGTAAAATAATTATAATAATAAAAAAACAACATGTGTACCTTGTTCTCGACTTGTCCAACGGTTCAGCGTTTCCCGTCCTCTGCAAAGCTTCCAACACTATGGTGATCGCTTCGGGTGACAGTTTTCCTGTATACGCACGAAAAAAATTAAATTAAAATGAAACCGGTATTATACCGGTTCTTGGTGTAAACGTTTCTGTGGAGTATTGGTTGTATTTAGAAGTAATGAAATAAATCACTGCGCGTTCGAAATGTCATTCCAAGCAAACGGATAAGTTTATACAACATTTGTATTCATACATCTATATATACCTGTATATGCATATATATGTGTGCACTTGTGCATTGAACACCTTATCTAATATTATAAATCGATGACTATCAGATACATATCACTATTTTTAATTATTTTAAACCAAACTCTCCTGGGGGGAGGGTTAAAACCGTTGATTTTCTGTTCATTCTGCGCGCATCTCATTTCTCACTTCTCTTTCCAACGTATCGATTTTAATTCGTTACAAATACTACTTGGAGATCGATAACTATACCGCGGTTTCCGTTTGGCCCCGTTGAATATCACCAAAAATCCATTGTTGTATTCGTTGGTGTTGGCTAGGATAGAATCATGGCGAAAACGTGGACTCGATTCAAATCGAAAATATACGGCGGTCTTTTAATCGAAAGAAAATTATTACGCACTTGCTTGATACATTTCACTAAATCGTTCTCCAGTTTGCAGAAAACTGTTAAATATATCGAAAATCCAATCGCATTGCAGTGATAACAGCGGTGTTCGCCGATTGCCGGGTATTATACGTTGTAGAGAAATTAGCGACGCGCGTTAGGTTTCCCTAACTTTCGATAAACGTTTATATACTAACCCCGAGGAGAGAGTGAGAGAGGGAGAAAGAACGAGAAAAAAAAACAACCGTAAAAAAAACCCTTACGCATTCTTTCAGGATCTAATATATATAGCATGCAATACGAACACGCTCGCGCCGCACTGTGCTGTCAGAGAAAAACGACATCTATTACACTTGACTGGTATTACGCGGAAAAACATTACTTATGTATAAATGCAATGAAATAGTAATAATAGCGGAGCGCGATAGGAACAATATCGACGAAAAAATGTTTTCAGAGAACGTAACGTATGTATACGTACGCAATCGTTATATGATAACGATTACAAGGGGAAAAAAATTAAAAAAAAAATTGTAAAGGCAGTGACGGGTTCTGCCGAAAAGCACGAGCAGAAGTGTAGTGTTACTCGCAGGATCGTTTTAACGAGAGCATGCGTAGCACACCCAGGGATTTGTTTGTAATACGATTTCCGCGCGACAGGTGTACGTAAACAGGGGTCTAGGTAAATCGAGTCCCGGATATTCTGTGTTCATTTTGGAAGCGGTAAATTGAGTATCGGGAAAAAAAAAGATATTAGGTAAGTTGGGTCCCGGGGAAAAAAAAGTTAGTAGGTAAATTGAATCCCTACTGACTACTGACTATACTACCTCGCCGTAGTCGTTTTACAAATGACAATTCATACCGTTTCTATCGGTTATCGATTCCATTGTGATCAAATAACTTCGTAACGTCGTAACTTTGATCATGTCTAATTAAGATACGTATATAGGCTTATACGTACATTGGTCTGTCGTATATCGTATGTCAGTTATCAGTTAACACCAATATTGATGATAGTTCTTACGATTACACACAGACACGAGTGTACAAAATCTGAGCATTTTCACGATCACATTTTTCGTAGCGTGCATTGCGTACTGTACGTCGATTTGAGTTTGTTAAATTTGTATCTTTTAAGTTTTTACCGAAAATGACACAATAATATTAAAATTGACTTCTAATAAAAATTATTAGATATTTAAAAAAAAAATTGTTTACCTTGGACTTAACTTACTACCTTTTTTTCCCAGGACCCAACTTACCTACTACCTTTCTTTTCCCGGGAACCAACTTTCCTACTGCTAAAGGTTATTAAGGACCCAATTTACCAACTACCGTAAACAGGTACGCTGTGTGCAAACTTAAAAATAATGAAGAATAAACGAATACATCCGACGTATAATACACGTGTATTATCGAAATATTTTTGAACGTTTGTCTCCACGTGAGTGCAACTGCTATATACGGATAATCGGAAACGAATTGAATTTAAACGAACGCTATTTTAATACCCGTTACATAATACATAAGACTTATTAGGATGGTACATTAAGATGATTCTTTAAACGTACACAAATAAAATAATAATAACTCTGTTTCACTTTAACGTTATTATGACCAAGAGCACGTTGATTATTTCTACTCGTTGCTATTCGCGGAGTTTTATGCCCAGGGTTTTTTTCGGAATAATGACAAAAATCGAACATTGTGATAAAATAACGAGTATGATGGGTTCTACGAAAACACAATACTTCAAATTGACAAAATGTTCAATTCAACAGAGTTATAATTAAATAATCAATACTGAGCATATTTGATTTAATAATATCAATACAATACATAACATAAAATATCCGATTTTCAAATTTGATAAAATCAAACATTTTTAAATGTATTGTTCCTGTTGCATCAAAACCTATGGACACTATTTTCTTCTGTTGTTTTTGGCATTTTAAAAGATATTTCTTAACGAATAGACATTGTATTAATGTATAAGTTTATTTAAATATTAATTTATTGCTTTTAAGCAGTGATATTTTTCATTCGTTAGTATAAAAAAATTATTTTACATTGTTAATTTGTTTCCAGTTTAGATCAATATTTGTAACACATATAAAACTAATAACAAGACTCAAATTTCATATTTCAAGATTAATATTATGTATAATAATAATGCGCATACAGAATGAAAATTACAATATTGACCTAATCTTAGAATTTGTATTTTTATTGTTTTTTTTTATACTTATCATCATATATAAAACAGATATATAATCAACGATAGAGCAAATCCAACGCTTTGATGTTTCATAGTGCACGTACCAATGTAAACCGAGGGCTGTTGATACGTTTTCAGATCGATTGTCCCGCTCGTATAATCATAAGCAGAAAGTTCATGTGCTACACCTGCCACAGGGACTAAAATTGTATGCAGTACGCCACGTTTTGTATAATACAAAATGTAAAGTGTGTAGTACGAAATAAAAAGTGTGTGGTGATTCTATTCTTTATATTATGGTATTTGTTTTTAATTTTACATATTTTATTAAAATATTTTACACATTTTTAAAATTCCAAGATGTATCATCACCAAAATCTATAATACCAACTATTTTAACTGTATTACTCATTACTGTTAACGTTTGAAAGGGGGGTATGAATCCTTAAGTGTGCAGTACAAAAAACTATATATTTTAGCCTCTGACCTGCCACATTTTTTGAGCCGATTGAGAGGCATGTGTACCGCGGTGGTGCAAGTTACAACCTACCCGTTTAGTCGCAGTAGGCTAAATCATTTACGTAATAGCCCTTTGGATTAACGCGAACCACGCCCGACCATTTTCTCCTCTTCTGTTTTTTAGCCACGCAATAACGATTGAATTAAAGAATGTGGCAAAATGCCGATAGCAATACGGTCTAGAGATGACAACGCTGAAGACGTTTCGCGCCAAAGGTCAATCAAGAAGGGCTCGGGGTGCGTTCACGACAGCACAGCCACACTATGAACATGCGCTCTGAAAATAGGAACGGACGTCGGCAGATTACTGCGAAGAACGGGCGCGTAAATACCTGCATACAATATAGCCGAACGATACGTTAATACGTTAAATAAAAAGCTTTTCTATCAAGATTCTCTCTTGAAAAATAAAAATAAAGTAACCGCAGAACAACGTGCAAGATAAAATATATCTATTTCTATGCAATTTTTTTGATCATGATAAATTCTTTTTTTTTCTTTTCTTCTTAGAACCTTACACGAAATGTCTGCGCAGTCTTGTCTCGAGCGTTTGTTGGATTTTTGGGATGAAAACTGTGAAATTCTATTCAGAAAATCAATCTTTATTTTGCCGAAATCAAAACTTGACATAAATGGGCCAAACGACAGTAAATTAATTTGCAATGATACACTATGCAGATATATAATACATATGATGTGTTTAGAGACAAAAAAATTTCATATTTTACTAAACAATAGACGGCAAAAGTCGAATTGTATAATATTTATAATTACAATTAGGTAATACTAAATATTTTAAATGATTATTTCTTTTGACATACCAAAAAAATAACTGAAATATTATGTATTTTTGAAAAAAATCGGTTTATTTTACTACTTTTCCTTATTTATCGATTGATTTATATATTTTTTTTCCGTTTTTCCGCAGCATTGAATCTCCATTCTTATATACATACTATAACGTTACAATACATATAAATAAAACCATCCATCTAAGCATTACCGTTAGAAAATATTGAAGCATGATTGCAAATAAAATGAACATAATATATCGTAACTTAACTCGTTTTTCTCAGATACTAAAATGTCGTGAACTTAAGTAATATAATAGATGTGAAAAGTCCAGAGACGATAATATCTCTTATTATATGTCCTCTTTATGAATACTATGTACGAAGGTAGGCGGGAGAAGTATAAAGAACATTTGTTTTAATTTGATTAATTTATAATATATATATACTTTTTCGCAACAAGTTTTTTCCGTTATTCGGTGATTTTCTTTTTTTTTTATGTTATTTTGGTTATGATTTATTATCTATTTTATTCAATACATTTTTTAATTTTATTTTTCCAACGAAAAAATAAAATAAAACGCAAAAGAAAATAGCTGAGTTGCACTAAACTTCGATTTAATCTTCTTTACATAAAGAAATGTGAGGTATGTGAGTAAACACACAGTTGTTTACGAGATTTATACAAGATATATAATTTATATAATTATAAAATTCAATGGCCAAAGATAACTTGCTCCTGTATGCAGTATGAATTCTTAATAACAAAATTAATTAACTTCATGCCAAGAAATATAATTATCTTACCTTAAACAGTTTTTAAAATATTAAAAATTTTTCGCATTGCAGTTATCTAGAAAACTGCCGTATTTGATATTATACTCATACGTGCATGCAATTAAACCTACTGTAAAT